ACAAATAAAATGCCACAGTCCCAATATTACCAAATCACACGGCAGGCCATTAATTCAAGTCCATTTTAAGTCCCAAGGTCGGCAGAGCATGGCAGGCTGCTGAAACAGCAACACGGCCACATCCAGGGTTCAAGGTGCCATAAGCTAGAGACCATTCCCAAAGCTGCTTCTTACATACAGGAAGCAGACCACATACCCAAAGCAGCTACTCAGCTGCTTGTGGTAGATCCCACCATGGAGATGATTGCCAGTCTCATCATGGGGAACAACTACCACCAGCTGCCCAGCCATTCAACCAGGCCCAACCAAGTTGACACAAAAACATAACCACCACCACAATGAATAACTTACTTGTTCATTACGCATGCAAAATTCTATCATACAATCTCCAGAATCATTTCTATCACCAAGGCCACATTTTCCAACTACCACATTCCACCAGCAATCACCAGTAATTCTCAATACATCTTGATTGAACATTTGGTCAATTTCAGACTGTAAAGTTGGTATTGGTAAAAATCTTCCATTTCTTCATCTTTGGCTTTAGTGGTTGGTGTGGAAATGTGAGTAATAGTTCTATTAACTGGTATTCCTTGCAGATGTATGGATATTATCCTATTACTGACAGCTCTATACTTCAGGATAGACCTTGAAATGTTCTTTTTGATGATGAATGCAATGCCATTCCTCTGTCATTCCTGGCATAGGAGACCATATGGCTGACTAATCCAAAATGGCCAATACCAGTTCATCTCAGCTCACTACGTCTACAATAATGATCTTTATGTGTCCCATTTCATTTTTCACAACTTCCTATTTTCCTAGATTCATATACTGTACATTCCACGTTCCAATTATTAATGGATGTTTACAGCTATTTCTTCTCATTTTGAGACAACAACTAGAACATAATTATATTCAACAGGGAGCAAAAGCTGGGGTCTGCTAATAAGGTGGGTGAAATCTATGGTGGGGGTGGGAAAGTGAGCTTACTTCCTTTCACTCAAACACTGAATATAACCCAGGAAAACCTAAACAAGCTACTTACTCTCCTAATGATCTGGCTCCTATCCAACCTATTATCCTAGCTAAATACAAAAAGAATAAGGGATTTGAAACTTCTCAGAGAGGCTACAAAAGAACCAGAACATTGCCACCAAAAGGGACTGCTGGCTTATCTCATTAATTCACTCCAAGAGCCTCAACTTCCTTCCAAACCTTTTCCTAGTGCCTAAAAGACAAAGGATACAGTGATTACAACAGATAACTTCTTAAAGTGCATTGATAGAATAGCAACCCAGAGTTGGTGACAATGTGGATGTTGTTGTTGTTGTTATGTGCCATCGAGTCAGCCCCGACTCATAGCCTCTCCTTGGGTTTCCGAGGCAGTATCACTACAGAAGTAGATTGCCCCATCTTCCTTCCGAGGAGTGGCTGGTGGGTTTGAACCACCAACCTTCTGGTTAGCAGTCAAGTGCCTTAGGCACTATGCTACCAGAGCTCCGGACTATCTGGATAAGCATCTGGAATTTCGCCCCACATCAGCCTAGTCTGCCACTTCCATTTAAAATGAGATGGACTCTGTTGGGTAAGACAGAAAAAGTAACTCCAAATGTTTGCTTAATGCAGCTATGGTTCACCTTCACTCAGGTCACCGCCTTCCTTTGCTCACAAACATTTAATTGTCTCTGAAAAGTAGGTCAACGCCTTGTGGAACAAGCTGGAGGGAAAGCTAAGACGCAGCCTATGGCTCCAACAGGCCTGGAGAGGCCCAGGTTGTGTCTAGGATACCAAGACTAGTCAACAGTGCATCATACCAAGAGCACTCCAGGTGCTCCAGGAGGCAACCTGGTTACTGCCATTCCTTAGTGGTGAATCAGTAGGCTGTGAGAGCAGAATACCTAGGATGCAGGGCTGAAACTCATGTGGGTCCAGGAAATACTTATTCCACTCTGACGGCTGATGAGGTGTCCCTAATCATTCCTGAATGGAGGGAGCAAAAGGTGAACAATCAGAAGGCTAAACCCACTATCCATATAGTCCCTTCTGAAGAATACCAAGCATTGCTCAACCATAAATGGAGCTGCCTGAATTTCTCCCCACTCCTTGCCCCAAATAATTTCTTCAGTTCACCCAAAAATAACCATTGCTCCCTACCCCTGAACCAGAGGTGCATTCTTAACACTGTAAATTTGTCATTTAAACACGTCCAATGAAGAAGGGTTAAAGCTTTTGAACAGGATACACCTTGTTCCTGGGACCAAATATTCCATCCATCCAGAATTCTAAGTGGAAGAGACTACCTCCTCAAGCTTCCTCCAGCCCCTAACTGGCTAGTTCACTGAGCATAGGCTATTGCTTCCAAGTCAAGAAGGGGCCCAGGGAGATGAGGTGACAGAGAGTTGTCAGTTTGGGAACAGCTACCACAAGGTCAGCTGTCCAGCTGGCTCTGGAATCTGAAGACTTTCAAACCTAACAACTGCCTTTCTTGGCAAGAATCAAAAGTATGTGAAGCAGCTGTGGAGGATAAAGGCTGCATAGCTCAGCTTCAGAAGCCAGTAGCAAACCACTTCCTTAGCCATTGTTCTCACAAAGGGCAAATCAAACACTGCCAGGAACTTCACCTTCAGACCAGACACTAGTACTAAGAAAGAGGAATGGGAGTAGGATTCAGTTAACTCTTTGGCATACACAGCACAGGCATCTCCATCTCTCTCTCTCCACTTAAATTTTTCTGGTTATAAAACAAAAGCCACAATACTCTTAACCTTCATAAATTCTGACAATATATAACTTCCCATTATCTCCTAGGTCCCTAGGTGGCTCAAGCAGTTTATGATCAGCTACTAACCTGAAGGTTGGCAGTTCAAAGCCACCTCCCAGCACCGCAAAAGAAAGACCTGGCTATCTGCTTCCATAAAGATTACAGCCAAGAAAACCCTATGTACTAATCTCCTCTATGTAAAATCTACTCTGTAACACGTGGAGTCTCCATAAATCAGAACCAACTCAATGGTAATGAGTTTGGTTTAGTTTATATATAATTTTCCATGTCTTCTAGTCCCACGTACCTCTCCTCCTCCTAGTCCCTCACCACCAACGCATACACACTTCAGTCTTCTGAATCTAAGGTACTTTAGAGTTAGAACCACATAAGCTAATACCTGATTTCACAGTTTTTATTATTATTATTATTTATTAGATTTAAGTCTTGTCTTTGTAACTACATGACTTTAAAATCTGCAAAGGAAGGAGCTATGTCTTATTGTTATAGTAACTGACACTGTCTGTTTACTATGAGGCAAGCACAGTTCTAAGCACTTCACTCATTATTCCATTCAGTCTCCATAAGAACCCTATGATATAGGTGCTACCAGTATAACCATCTTATAGATGAGAAAACTGAAGCACAGAAAGGTTCGAGAACGTCCCCAAGTTCACGGCTAGTAAATTGTCAGAGGCTGGGATTCAAACTCCAGCAGCCTAACTTCAAAGCTCATGCTCTTAACCCCTATACTCTACACCAGTGGTCCCAGGTCAGCAGCATCAGCATCTCTTGGGAACTAAACAGAAGTGCAAATTCTCAAGCCCCACCCTAGACCTACTGAATCAGAAACTGGGTGTGGGGTTCAGCAATCTGTTTTAACAATCCCTCCAGGTGATTCTGATGCAGGCTGAAGTTTGAGAATTACAGCTCTACACAGTATTCACAAACTGTGCTGCTTCTGCTTCTCTTCATTTGAGTTACACCCAAGACACAGAGAAGTCTTCAAACAAAACAAACCCACTGCCATCAAATCCATTCTCATAAGGGCCCCATAGGTCAGAGTAGAACTGCCTATGTTGTTGTTGTTGTTATATGCCGTCGAGTCAGACCCGACTCATAGCGACCCCTCCTTGGGTTTCCGAAGCAGTATCACTACGGAAGTAGATTGCCCCATCTTCCTTCCGAGGAGTGGCTGGTGGGTTTGAACCGCCAGCCTTCTGGTTAGCAGTCAAGTGCCTTGGCCACTACACTACCAGAGCTCCCAGAACTGCCTATAGGGTTCCCAAAGCTGTAAATCTTTACAGAAGCAGACTGCCTCATCTTTTTCCCATGGAGCAGCTGATGGATTTGAACAGCTGACCTTTTAATTAGCAGCCCAATGCTTAACCACAACACCACCAGAGGAACTTAATAGTGTAAAAATATGCAAACAATTGATTATAGCATAATGGTTAAGAGTGCATGTAGATTCTAGAACCAGACTGCCTGTCAGTATGAAACCTAACTCTGCTGCTTATCATGGCCTTGGGCCAGTCAGTTAATCTTTCTGTTCCTCATTTTAATCAAGTGTAACACGGAGATAAAAATAATACCTACCTCATACAGTTGTTGCAAGAATTAAATGAGCTAATTCATGTAAAGCATTTATAACAGTTTCTGGCAGTTAATAAAGGAACTCTGGTGGTGCAGTGGGTAAGGCATTTGGCTGTTGATCAGAAGGTCGGTGGTTCAAACCCACCAGCTGTTCTGTGGGAGGAAGATGCAGCAATCTACTTGCATAAAGATTTACAGCGTTGGAAATCCTATGAGTGTCACTATGAGTTGGAATCAACTCGATGGCAGTGGGTTTGGGTTTTTTTCAAGTAAGTGTTACTGTTTACTAACTATGGTCTTTGATCCATTTTACAATTAAATTCAACAAAGATTTATTAAGCATATATGTGCTAGCCACATGCATTCATTAATATTACTCCATTCGCTGTCATCCTTTAAACAAATTTTTATTGATACCTTACAATATGCAGTACTCTGTGCTGAGGGATACCAGGGACACAAAGAATAAGGCGTTAACCTTCGTTTAAAGACAGTACAAAACAGTGGACCAGAATTTACACAAATAACTGTAACTCAGTAGCAAGTGATAAGAATCATGAAACAGGTGCTGGAGGCGGGCAGGCAGGTTTGGGGAAGGAGTCGTGAGTTGGAAACCCGATGCGGGGAAGGGGATTCAGAAATGGCTTCGGCTGGAGGAGGCAACTGCGCCGTCATCACACCAGAGGTGGACCACCCTCAGAAGCAGCCTTTCCTAATTGGGGTGAGTGGAGGCACTGCAAATGGGAAGTCAACCGTGTGTAAGAAGATCATGGAATTGCTGGGACAGAACAAAATAGACCACCTTGAGCAAGTAGTCTGCCTTGAGCAATGTGCTATTTTAAAGAATTATCTGTAAGTGATCAAACTGACAACAGCAACTCAAAAGGTTAGATGAGAATCTTAGATGACAGTAAGTTTATGTTAGTGGTAGAAGAATAATTTAGAAAAAGATAGCAAGAATGGTTGCATAGAAGTGAAGAATGTAATCACCATCACTGCATTGTACATGCAGAAATTGTTAAACTGGCTTATGTTTTGCTGTGCATATTTTCACAGCAAAAGTTGGTCATCTTAAGCCGAGACAGGTTCTATAAGGTCCTGATGGCAGAACAGAAGGTGAAGGCCTTGAAGAAACAGTACAATTTCGACCACCCAGATGCTTTTGATAATGACTTGATGCACGGGACACTGAAAAACATTGTGGAGGGCAAAACTGTTGAGGTCTCCACCTATGATTTGGTGACCCACTCTAGGTTACTGGAGACAACAGTGGCCTACCCTGTGGACATTGTTCTCTCTGAAGGCATCTTGGTGTTCTACAGCCAGGAGATCAGGGACATGTTCCACCTGTGCCTCTTTGTGGACACCAACTTTGATGTCAGGCTGTCACGAAGGGTTCTCCAGGACGTGCACTGCAGGAGGGACCTGGGCAGATTCTAACACAGTACACCACCTTCATCAAGCCAGCCTCTGAGGAGTTCTGCCTGCCAACAAAGAAGTATGTCATCGTGATCATCCCTCGGGGAACTGACAATATGGCTGCGATCAACCTGATCATGCAGCACATCCAGGACATTCTGAACAGTGACATCTGCAAATGGCACCGAGGAGGGTCCAATGGCCAGAGCTGCAAGAGGACGTTTTCTGAGCCCAGAGACCATCCTGGGGTGCTGACGTCTGGCAAACGGTCCCAGTTAGAGTCCAGCAGCAGACCCCACTGAGGAGCTGGAGTTTATCGCTCCCTCAGCACAAAAAAACAACAAAAGCCTCCTGGGCAGGCCCCTGGTAGACACATGTATGGTGACTGGGCCTGCGGATGCCCACCCCTCCCCTAAAACATGGCCACCACTTCTTTCCACATATGTTATAGGGGGACGTTGTTACTCAAATGAGATGTGGTAGGATAGTAGTATGGCATTCAGGGGTTTCCTCCTGCTTTCTCATGCTAAAGGAGTTTAAAGAATATCTAGGTTGCTGAGAAATGCGGGAAACTCCATGGTAGTAAGCCTGTTCCACAGGAGTGCAAATCACATTTTTTTTTTTTTTTTTTTAAAAAAAAAAAAAAACTGAGGAAACAGCCAGGACTGGCTGGCGCAGTGTTTCTGAGACTTTGTCACAGTGAACCCACAGGAAGGGACACATTTTACAGTGTGATCCAGTTCACACACATGAATCCCTGAACCCTAAGTTTCAGGAGACACCACTTCCCCTTTGTATGAGTTACTCATCCTCATGTTTTCTATTTTATTCTATTTCACAACCACGAGTTGTAACCTATCAACTTAATTTCATGACCCACTCATGAGTGGTGATCCAGTTTGATAAACATGGATCTGAGGAGCACTGAGCCCCCAGGAAGGAACCCTGGGTGTCCTGTTTACCGGGGCCTGTAAGTCCACTTGGCCCCTGTGTGGCATGGTAGAAGCAGCTGGCAGTCTCACCTAGTTCTGGCTGCAGTGTGCAGTGTCTGCAGCAGAAACCCCTGCATGGGCTGGGGCCACCTGAGCCCCAGGTGCTACCTGAGCACAAGCTGTTCCTCGTGTAGGTCTGCCAAGGGACCTGCTACATTGTTGAGGTTCAAGTGAGTGTTGCTGCGTGCATCAGTCAGTAGGCCTATGCTCACCAGAATTCACGGCAAGGGTCATTCATAACTGGTGACCTTCACCCTGTGGTGCCCTAGTTCATCTTTCTTCCCACATAATGGCCGTTTCTGTAGAAGTCATCCTGTCCACAGCTGTGACCTAAGCTGCGTGGGTACTTTTGATTACTTTCTGTCGAGTAACTCACCAAAGTCATGAGACATGATGTTTGTTAGCTCCTGAGACTAGGTTCTGATAAGAAGCTGTGTAGCAGTTTTGTCAAACTTTTTGTGCTCTTTTGGAGTGAAAATTAAATAAACACAAAACACTAATGCTAAAAAAAAATTCTGAAATAGTATTGTTTGGTGGAAAGAACATGAGGTTTAAAGTCTTACTAAACCAAACCCACTGCCATTGAGTAGGATCTGACTCATAGCGACCCCTCCTTGGGTTTCCGAGGCAGTATCACTACAGAAGTAGATTGCCCAAACTTCGTTCCGAGGAGTGGCTGATGGGTTTGAACCACCATCTTTCTGGTTAGATTTAATTCCAGCTGTGTGACCTCAGCCAAGTCACTTAACCTCCCTGAGCCTCCCTTTCCTCAGCTGTAAACAGGAATAAAAAGCTATCTGTGAGGTTCAAAAGAGCTAATAAATATGTGAAACCATTTTGTAAAAGGCTGTGTGAATGTTAGTTGTCAAATATTATTATTACCATTAAGTGAACTTCTTTGAATAATATTATGTGAGTTCAGAAAGATGATATGGCTTGTACCTGAGGTGATCAAGAAAGGCTCCACAAAGAAAGTGGCATTTGAGATGGACAGAGAAGAACAATAAGATGTAGAAATGAAAAGGAGGCCTATGGAAGCAGAGAAAACAGCATGAACAAAAGGAGGGAAGCAGGAAAGTATAGTGCAAGTGTAGGATAAGCATTCATTCATTTTAGCTGGAATGAAAAGAAAAATGGAAGATAACATTAAAAAGATAGGTAAAGGTTTGTGAACATTTCCATCAAAGATTCTATAGAAGAATCTTGATCAAAAAGGAGAAAAATGCAGGCCAGAATTTCAAATTCTCATAGAATCCAGACTTTCTAGAGCTAAGAAATAAGCTCTTAAGGCTGGATGAACCCCTGAAAGTACTGCCCTGAGAAAATCTTTAAACCTTAAACCAAAACTATTCCCTGAAATCTTTTACAAACCAAACAGCACTTTAATTAGTAAAGAATGTCTGCCTTGAGCAGTGTGCTATTTTAAAGAATTATCTGTAAGTGATCAAACTGACAACACCAACTCAAAAGGTTAGATGAGAATCTTAGATGGCAGTGAGTTTATGTCAGTGGTGGAAGAATAATTTGGAAAAAGATAGCAAGAATGGTTGCATAGTTTGAGTAATGTAATCAACATCACTGCATTGTACACGCAGAAATTGTTACACTGGTTTATGTTTTGCTGTGCATATTTTCAACAACAACAACAAAAAGACAGGTAAAGGAGAAAATCTGTCCTTTTTTTTTTTCCCTACAAGCATCTTTGGAGCTCTGGTGACACAGTGCCTAAGGTATTTGACTGCTAACCAGAAGACTGGCGGTTCAAACCCACCAGCCACTCCTCAGAAGGAAGACTGGGCAATCTAGTGATACCACCTCAGAAACCCAAGGAGGGGTTGCTAGGAGTCGGATCCAACTCGACGGCAGTGTGTTTGGCTTTTTTTGGAAGGAATGGTTAAAATTAATTTTAGGATTTGTGTGTGAATTTGTATTCATCATGTTCTATGCTCCATTTTGATGGGATGATTAAGTGTCAGCCATATCATCTGTATGGAATACCTATAATTACATAGTTTGTGCAGGGACCAATTTGAAAATGATACTGTTATTCTTCATCAAACCTTCTCATTGAGAATTCAATGAGATAAAGAGAGCAACAGCTTACAAAGATTGTTTTGGCCTTTATGACTTTTCAACATCATTACTGAAGTAAGAGAAAGCTATGTTCACCTAACACCAACTGCAAAATAAGGAGGAAAGGGTTCAACCCTCTCCTCCATTTTTTCAAGGGTTTGTTGGGATTGCTATTCAAATACAATATGAGGTACAGTTATTTTTGCTTTGGTTTTTGTTCCACTGTTTTGTTTTATCTGCTGTTTGCATGCAGAAAGTATTTCAACAAAATCCTGAATGACACATAATCACACAATCTAGAATACTGTTGTTGTTAAGTGTCATTGAGTCATCTCCGACTCACAGCAACCCTATGCACAGCAGAACGACCACCACCCAGTCCTGAGCCACCTCCATGATTCTTGCTACACCTGAGCCCATCGCCTCCACCACCATGTCAATCCACCTCATTGAAGGCCTTCTCCTCTTTCATCGACCCTCCACCTTACCAAGCACGACAATCTAGAATAGTACAAATTGTTTAAGAGAAATTAGGTTACAAGATTGTTTCACACAAATTTTTGAAGCTTTGTTGATCATTGAATGAAATAATGTACATTTAATCTAGCAATTCTTGCTTGCCAGAACATCTGAAAGTAAGAAAATAAATTTAATAAACTCTCAAGAAAGCCCATTTTCAAATGGCAAAGAGTAAATATAATCAATTATTTTTATATTTAAAACCTATCAATTTTGCAGTTATATAAGTAAAAAAAAAATGAACTTCAAGGAACAAGTAAAAATGAAAGTTCAAAATTCCAAACTGAACATTCTTATGCTTGCCTTTACTCCACTGTCATACAAGTGCCCCCTACTGTTGCTCATATCTGTTTCTCTAGAACAGATTTATTTTTAGATCCTCTCTTATAGTGGCCTTTTATAAAGTACAAACATGATTCTTTAATCATATATATTTAAACAATTATAACTGGAAGGCCAAATTTGGTCTATATTAATTTTATCTAGAATCAATTCATTCCTATTGACAGCATAAAATCACTCTGAATAGTTTACGGAAAGATAACTTGTAACTAGGCATTGGTGATACAGAAGCAGGGAATAGGAGGGGAGGCCAATTTGGGGGATGAGGTAGAGGAAGTACTGAGGGGATATATCCCTCTATCCATGACACAACGGGGTGAAAAATTCACCCAATGACACTGCAGTCTCCTTAAGGATAAGCAAAGTATTGGGGATAAATCAATATAAACTACCTTTTATTCCCTATAAGGAGCTCTGGTGGCGTAGTGACTAAGGCATTTGACTGATAACCAGAAGGTTGATGGTTCAAACCTACCAGCCACTCCATGGAAGAAAGACTGGGAAATCTACTTCCATAAAGATTCATCACCTCAGAAATGGGCTGCTATGAGTCGGAATCAAATTGATGGCACTGAGTTTGGTTTTTAGGGTTTTTTTTTAAATTAGGTTGTTTTTTTTTTTTTAATTCCCTATAAAAGGAGATGGTGCAATGATTAAGCATTTGACACCACTGGAAAAAAGACCTGGTGATCTGCTTCCCATAAAGATTATAACCTAAGAAACCCAGAGGACAGGTGTACTCTGTTATATATAGGGTCACTATGAATTGGAATTGACTTATGGCACACAACAACATTTCGTATAAACAAACAGGAGAGTCCACAGATAAAGATCCAGGAATTTGAAGGGGCTACCTGTCCTTTTCATCCTATACCCCCATGTCCAGCATAAGCACAGGACACAGGAACCTGGGCTTCTGGACCTTTCCAGGTCTAACTCAGGGCCAGCAATGGCAGAGAAGTCAAATCTGGATAAGTACTGTCTCTTTAGAATTTTAGAGACACTGCAAGAGCATGTCTAAGCTGCTGAGACCCTCCTGCTAAGCGTCTTTATGTTTTAATTCCCTTGGAGACCCCTCACATCATCCCAGGATCCCCCTATTGCCAACATATGCATCCTGGGGGGCTGGGGTAGATTGAGGAGAATCTAGAAATGAAAACCATGTAGTTTCTATGTTGTGTCAATTACCCACGAAAGGAGTGTGTGTGTGTGTGTGTCCTGCAAATCCTAATCTGGCAAGCCAGGCTGGCAAACAGCTAGTCATTCATTGTGCTCATCACCACACAGCTATACAGCAATTTCCCCTCAGTCTCTGACCTACATAAAACAAACCAAGGGCCTAGGTATGTCAGGACATCAAGAATCCCATTCACAGT